AGATCCATGGTCCTCTGCAGCCTCATCCTTTCCACTCAATTAGGGTTCCCTTCCACTGAAGGATGGTCCCCCCGCAGGGAATACCTACAGTGGCAGAATTGTGCCACCGCCATTTCCCACTGGCAAGCACACACTGACCCTTTTGCGTCTTAGTTCAGTTGCAAGCCATTGATTTCAAATCCCTGCAGATTTGGGGTTCTGTCAACATTCTTTAGCCATTTTAAAAACTAAGAACAAAGCATGGTCTCAATTCCCATGTCTTCTACTGAAGTGGACCCCAGAAGATGTGTCTACGTCACAATTTAGTCACCCTCAAGCTGGGCTGTATGCAGAGCTTGACAGTGTAACCCAGCATAGATGGAACCAACAAGACTTTAACCTCCCTGGAGATAGGGCACAGAAACCTGGAGGGAATGGAAGAGAAACGGGGAGCATTCCCATTGGGAAGTCAGGATAGGCCGGAATGACAGCAGTCCAGAGATTAGAAGCTGCAAGGCAGTTACATGAGCTCAGCCATCTGGTTAGCCCAACATACCCTCTGTTTTTCCATCTGAGTCTAAATACAGTCCCTTTCTCCAAAAGTCATCAGCAAGCTGAGGTGTGTGGATCAGACGGAGAGTGGCATTGTGGGGGTGCAGATCCTGGTTTGTGTTTTCTGGTAAAGATGTGAAGCCTTTTTTTTTCTTTTCTCTCAGCTAACTTTTGCTTTGTATCAAGTTCTCAAAACTTACTGGCTTAAAACATCGATCATGATGTTTGTGTGTGAGTTTGTGGATTGGCCCTGAGTTTCCTCTGGTCTGGACTGATTTGGCTGATGGAAATCTCCAGACTTGGCCGAGCTGGGAGGTCTAGGGTACCCTCATTCATGTATAATGACTGTCAGGATGGTTGTTTGGACAAAGCTTCAGTAGGGGTTGGTTTTTGCTGGACCCACGTGGTTCCTCATCCTCCAGCAGACAAGCCTCTAAGTCCTCTCATAGCTCAGCCCGTGACTTTCGAGCCCCTCCATGCAGCCCATCTGCTATTTCCCCATTAGCCAAAACAAATCTCTCGTCTAAATCAGGAGTCAGTTTGGGAACTTATTATATCAGTCCATGGATACAGAAAAAGTGTGAATTGGAAGCCGTTACTGTTAAGAAACGCATCATGCTGCGAACCTAGAATTAGCTCAGCAAGTAACAGTTGTCACTACCTGACGCCCACCTGAAGACTGCTCTGAGCCATACTGTGGTGAACTCCTTAGGAAGAGTCCGTGTCAAGGAAAACTGTAGGATCCATGCAGCAGCAGCAGCAGCTCTAGTAGCCTCTTCTGGGAAATCCATCAAGGGACTGGAGGCAGAAAGTTAGTGAAGGGCCAGATGGAGCCCATCCGCCAAAGCATGCCATTGCCTCCTCCATGCAAGCACAGAGCAACCAAAAGGCAGGTCTAGGCTGGGAGGTACTGGGGCAAGGGGTGCCATCTGGACCCAAGAATCAAGGATAATTTCCCTGGACCAGCATAGGCCTGGAGTGAGAGACCAAAGACCAGATTTAAGGTGGAGCTGCAGAGGGAGTGATGAGGATAAGAACATGAAAATGTCGAGTATTCACCTATCCAACAGGAACCAAAAAATGGGTCAAGAAGCTCCATCCCAAACTGAGTTTCCCAAGAGGAAGGAATCTCTTGCAAAGTGAGCTGTCGAGATGGCTACAACAATCATATTCTCTAGACTGTCTCTTGCATGCCAGGGATTGTATTTAGCTTGTACTTGAGTTTGGTCCACACAATACCCTGAGGCAATTAGTCCCAATTTCCAGACGAGAAACTGCCTCAGGGAGGTTAAGTAATTGGCATCACTCACCAAGCTTGTTACATGTCTGACCCCAAGGGCACCGAGCCCTTTCTCTGCACCAGGCTGCTCAGCCAAGCCTGTAGGACCCTTCTAACAGTAGAGCTTGGGAAGACCCCCAGTGCTGCCTCCCAGGCAGAAGCTCTAGAAGATGGCCATGTAGAGGAGGAGAATGTTCAGAAATGGCATCAGCCACAAAAGTAGATGGCAGAAGAAACCACGAAGAAAAACCCCAGTCCACTTGATAGCACAAAGATATCAAGATTTTCTCTAAACCTTTCTTCCCATTCCACAATCTTTATTTGCCCCCCACCCCCCCACCTCGCTTCCCTGAGCTGAAAGGATCACCAAGGCTTGAGTGGAGTTGTCCTGTTATCCAGGAGAATGAAGCAAACGGATTTTAAGTTGGAGGCCAGCCTGGGCTACATGGATATATTGTTTTTTTCAAACAAAACAAAACCCCTCAGAATCAGTGTATTAGGAAATTGATAGAGTGTAGTCGGAGTTTCTGTCCAGCCTGGCCTAGCAGCCATTTAGTCCCAAATAAACATGCAGAGGCTTATGTTAATTATAAACTGGCCAATGGCTCAGGCTTCTATTGGCTAACCCCCTCTTAATTATTAAACTATTAACCCATTTCTTTTTTTTGGGGGGGGGAAGGGGGTTTCCAGACAGGGTTTCTCTGTGTAGCTTTGGAGCCTATCCTGACACTCACTCTGGAGACCAGGCTGGCCTCAAAATCCCAGAGATCCGCCTGCCTCTGCCTCCCGAGTGCTGAGATTAAAGGCGTGCAGTTAATTATAAACTGGCCAATGGCTCAGGCTTCTATTGGCTAGCCCTCTCTTAATTATTAAACTATTAACCCATTTCTTTTTTTTGGGGGGGGGAAGGGGGTTTCCAGACAGGGTTTCTCTGTGTAGCTTTGGAGCCTATCCTGACACTCACTCTGGAGACCAGGCTGGCCTCAAAATCCCAGAGATCCGCCTGCCTCTGCCTCCCGAGTGCTGAGATTAAAGGCGTGCACCACCAACGTCCGGCTCAACCCATTTCTATTAAACCATGTATTGCCATGAGGCTGTGGCTTACCCATAATGCTCCAGTATGTTACTCCTTTGTCAGCTACATAGTGTCTCTCTCTAGCGACTCAATCTTCATATTCCTCTTCCCAGTATTCTCCTAGTCTGGTAGCCCCACCTATACTTCCTGCCTGGCTATATCCTGCCTGTCCATTGGCCAAAACAGCTTTATTCATCAACCAATAAGAGAAACATACATGCACAGCATACAGAAGGACATCCCATCATTAGAATAAACCCAATCAGGAAAGACTAGGCACTAAGGAGCTCTGAGACCTATGGCCATGGAAGGAAGACAGCTATAGAAGTTCTGACCTCCTAAGAGTGAACATGGCCTGTGTTATCAACAAGCTTTAGCTAGAATCAGTGTGTAGATGTTGAAAGAGACACTTGGACCTGCAAGGGAGAACTCTAGAGCCACAGAGACCTCGACTCACACCCTGGCACCGCTGAGTAACTTCTCACTCACAAGTTTCAGTTTCCTGTCTGTGCATCAGAACTGCATGCACCAACCTAGCAGTGTGTGGGCAGTGTGTGGACGAGGTGACACTTGGGGCACCTGTGGCTCCTGCTTACACTTAGGAACCTCTGGAAATGGATGGTTGTGAGCAGTTAGGAGTCCCAGGTATCTGGAAGAATGGAATGAAGGTTGGCTGCTAGCAAGGGGCCACCAAGGTGATACCCACAGAGAAGGGGTGCTGGTGGCCCCTCTGCTGTGAGGTGACAGTGTGTTTTCATTTGTCTTTTAGAAAAAGCTCTCCCCTTGGTTAACAGAATTCTGGCAGGTCCCTTCCTAAAGGAGGGGTGCAGGGCTGTGGGCAGGAGATGGGAACAAGGGGTGCAGGCTCTGGCTCCTGCCTCACTCCCAGCAGATACACTTGTTCATAAAGTAGCTCATTGAAACAGTCCACGTGCCATGCACCGGCCTCACCCTGGTGGCCCCTGGTAATTGAGTTATGTCATGTGCACCTTAGCAGGAGAACTTCTCTCTGATTTTGTCTATCCAGGCTCTGTGGAGATTGGATTTGAAGTGGGTAAAGTCTCGGGTTTGTAATAGCTGGTATAATCATACTTTATAATCCTTGTTTGTTTTGTGTTTTTCAAGACAGGGTTTCTCCATGTAGCCCTGTCTGTCTTGGTACTCGCTCTGTAGACCAGGCTAGCCTCGAACTCACAGAGATTTGCCCACCTCTGCCTCCTCAGTGCTGGGATTAAAGGCGTGTGCTGCCACCACTACCACTTGGCTACGGTTTCCAAGTTCTACTTAAAACCCCAGTGAGAACCAGAAAATAAACCCAGTATGCTGGAGGCCCGAGTTCAATTCCCAGGACCCATGTAAAAATAGAAGGAAAGAACTGACCTCACAAAGTTGTTCTTTGTCCCACACAGGTGCACATGCACACCCCCCCAAATAATAAACAAAACTCACATGTAAGGCTGACAGAATAAAATTACAGGAAAATTAAGGATCTTACTCAGTATTTAAAAAGCAAAAGTTCTGTTGCACCATCCTAATGTTTAAAGAAATTAGAATGGGCAAGTGGGATCGATCTGCAGGAAGATCCAAGGCCATATCTGAGAGTCTCAACAGTCTGGAATGGGCCATTCCTCTGATTGACTGATGGGGCTGTTTGTATAGGAGCAATCAGCATCCCTAAAGCAGGACTGTGGGAAACATTGCAATAGCTGATGTCCAAATTATGATGCAAGGTCAAGGTCATCTTGGCAGATGGTTCATCAAAAAGTTGAAGTTTTAAAGGTTTGAGCTCATCGTGGGGTGAGCTGGTCCAGGTGCAGGGTTTGTTGTCTGTGGCATCTCGCGTGCTTGATAAACATTATCTGCACTTCTCTCTGGCATCCACACCTCCAGTCTCCTGGCCTGTTGACGGCAGGTAAGGGGACTCTAGTGAACTCTAGTGAACACTTGGCAGAGTGTTCTCACTTGGGCTTCTCTGGGGGCAAAGACTTCCAGAGCAAGTGGTTGTTCTGGGATCCATGCCTCCCCACCAGGGGCACGGGTTAACCAGATTACTTCCAGGTGATGGACTTCTCTTTCTCCTTGAACATTTGTTCCTTGCCTTTGTTTTCTCCTCAGGACGGGTTCCGGGTTGGAGGTGAAACCATGAAGAGAAAGTAGAACAGATAATAATGCTTTACCGCAATCGCTTCTTGGTGCTGCTGGCCCTGGCTGGGCTGCTGGCCTTCCTGAGCCTCAGCCTGCAGTTCTGTGAGTACAGAGGGGACTTGAGGGCTTCCAGAGGGAAACTAAGGGCCGGGGTTTGTGGGCAGCGAGGAAACCCCAGGGCCTTTTCATTATCGTGGTGAATGGTTGCAAGCAGGAGTCCTAAACTGGTATCTTTCCTTTCTTTGAGTCCTGGTCTCAAACGACCGATCCTCCTTCCTCAGCCTGCTAGGCCTGCGTCACCACACTAGCACCCAGCCTCGTGATACATTCTTTGAACTTGTACATACATTCCCAAACAGCTTGCTTATTCTCATTGACACCCATCCCCAAGGTACAGAGGGTCCATCTTGATTTTGCATGCTTAGCAGAGGCATTTGAGCCTTGGTTCCTTGAGGACCAAATGGCCATTTCATGTTCAGTCACTGGTAGGGCTGGAGTAGCTCAGGAGAGCGTGGGGAAATTAGGTTGCTGGTCCCTGGGTGGCAGAGGCTGCTCATGGGAGGTCCTAGGTAGCAAAGTAAGGACTCTCTGGTGAAGCTTATCTGTGGGTCTCCCCATCCATCATCCTCCACTGGATCCTTATGCTCACACTGTACCCCAAACCTGTGCTCCCCACACTTGCCACGAGAGGGGCTATCCTGGAACTCCAATCGTGCCTCAGTTTCTCAATGATTGCAGCCCTTCAAGTGGTGGCCCACAGTCCCCCGTGTCCCCCCTCTGCTTGGCCTTCTCCATTGAACCAGCCCTTCTCGGTGCTCACCCCTGCCACCCTGCATGGGCCAGCTCTTCCCGCCTCTTCCTTCCATCCTTCCAGCCCTTGCCTCCTCTCCTCTAGATTCCCTCATTGCTCCCAAGGGTGTGGTGCCTCTCTGATGTACATCAGGATTTCCTGAGCCAGTTCCCTTCACTAGTCGTGAAGCCTCACTGGGCCCTTGCCCTGTGTATCTCAGGACCACACCATGCCCAGGGAGGAGTGGGTGTCTCTTGAACGTCTGTTGAATGAATGAGCTATGACTACTCTGGAAGCATTTCCCTTTCCTTTGGAGTCTGTGTCCTGGAAACTGAGCAGGCGCCGGTATGATGCTGAGAACTGTGTGTTTGCTGTCACCTGGCTTCTCTATTTTACCACCTCATCCTGATGGGTGGGAGACAAGTGTTTGTCACCCCCAGGAGCTCTGTGGGGAGGTGGCATTTCTGTTTTCTGTTTGAGTGACAATAAAGGAACAGGTGTCTCAGTGAGTGGGTTGTGGTGAGTGCAGAGGAATGTGGGCGACTTGGCGTCAGGAGTGGGTGGATGGGTGAAAGAAAGCTCTGAGCAGGCTCGCCTGATTTACCTCAGTGCACGTGACAGGCTATTCTAACAGCGAAGAGGCTTAAAAATACTCACTTCATCCTTCCAATATTGGAAGTGGTCAAGAGAAGGTGACCATAGACATGCAAAAATACTCCAGATGGCTAATGGCCTGCAAAAATAGAAATCCTTTCAAAAAGGGAGGTTTGGCTTTCAGTAGTTTCATTGTTTGTAGTTTTTCATTGGAAATTTTCCACCGTTGGGTGAAGGAGGAGGGACCTGCAGTCAGCCTGGAGTTTTATCCCAAGCTCTGGCGGGTTGTGAGAGGTAAATGTGGCTCTCTTGTGTTCCCCAGGCATCTCTCCCATGAGTGGCCTGTGTGGCACTGAATGGCCCTATGTGTCTTACTTGTACAGTGCTTCTGAATGTTCTTCTGTGTTAGGAGGGCCGCTTTTCAGCCACACTTTTTTAAAGGAAAATTTTGCAGAATAAATTGGCCTGGCTGGACTCTAGCTCTTTATTCTGGAGTACCTTGCAGTTCAGAAAGCTTAAGAAATGGACGTCCGTGCTGCCTTTCTCCTCCTAGGTAAAGTGCAACTTTGGAACCCACCTGTTTCTGTAGAAATGATGCTTAGTTGCTTTATTTATTTGATTGCTTTATTGATTGCTTATTATTATAGTCTAAGAAACTTTATTGATCCACAAAGCAAAGTTTGACTCATGCTTTCGTTCTAAAACATACATGCTTTTCCCTTATTGTTCCTTTTGACAAATTTTTTGAATACCATGTTGGCAGTATTATAATTTGAGACAATATAGTTGAGGTTGTCAACTATATTTATTTGTGTACTTTATGTAAAAAGTATGATTTCATTTTCTGAAACTACTGTGTATCTTAGGGCATCTTGTTGGTAGACCCATTTTCTTGTTAGTGTTTTGGATTCGGAAACATTTTGACGAAGGTTAGGATGGAGAAATGGGATTGCTTAAACCAGCGTGTCTTCCTGTGGGCAGAGTATGTGAGGGGTGGTAAATGCTTGGTCTGTTCAGCATTGTGGAGGTGGAGGGAGTGGGGAACGACCCGGACAGCATAAGGTACTGTTCATAGCCTCTCAACACATTCGTCGATAGTACTAATGGCTTCCCTGTGCTGAAGGTCTTTAATGAAATTAGTTTTTATATATCTTCAGTTCCTTAATGTTGAAATGTGTACAGTGGGAAAAATAACTTCTCAAATTCAAGGATCCTTTGTTAGGGCATGGAAAGATTGTTAGGGTCCAAAGACATCTGGATCATTCATTTCTGCTTTTTCTGCCCATTTAGAATCACCCTTTTCCCTCTTTGCAGCATTTCTTTAGTGTGTATTTTGGGCTCACTTCTTCATGTTCTCATCAGCAGGCTCTGAAATTGTGGCCTTGATTTGAACGTTAGCTTCCTCATTAAGCAGCTGGCTATTCTGCACCTTTCTTCATTAGAGAGTTGACCATCATAATTTTGCAAGGTTGGCATGAGGATAGACACTTGTGCCTTGGCTGGTACAAACCTTTTAGTTACCCGCTGCTCCTTTGCAAAGTTGGTACAAGAATGTAGACTTTTGGGAAAGCCCCTGGCTCAGGGCAGCTGCTGTTTCTTCTGTAAAATGGAGCTGATTATTATGGTTTTGCAAGATTGGTTGAGAGCTGAGAGCTTTTGGGAAAACCCTTGGCCCACAGAAGCACACTGACCGTAAGTCTGTAAGCAAACCAGAGCCCCACTAGAATGCACTCATGATATTCTGGCATCCAGAAGGCGGTCAGAGCTTATGTTACTTCAGCTATTTGATGAAAGAAAACTTGCCATTTGCCATCCATTTATTTGCTTTTAATCAGAGTACATTGGCTGACAGTTAATCTATATGGTGCTTATGCCACTCATCAGGGAGGCATCCTCTTGGGTGGATCCTCAGTTGACCACAGCAGAGTTCATCTGCAGTAGTAAAAACTAGTGTTGTCGTCAGTGTCTAAAGTGTCCTTTCTGCAAGAGGCTTCGGCCTGTTCTGTGTGGCCCGGATGGACACAGAGACACATTTGCATTAGGCATGAAGTAGAGCATCTGAGGATTGGGTGTCACTTCAGGGTGGCGTGAGTGGTGTGCTCTCCCCACAGGAGATGGCACACTCTGGAAGGTTACCCTCTAAGGAGGACAGTGTCAGGCAAGTCACTGGGCCCAATCACATTTTGTATCTTTAAACTCTGAAGTTTTATTAATTTTTTTAAAGAAACAGTGATGATTATTGCATGCTGCGTGCCCTCAAAGATGATCCGTAGTCCATAAGGCTAAGATTTCTTTATTGAGATAAACACCAGCCCAAACGCAAGCCAGAGCCCAGAGCGTGCCAGGGGCAGCAAGGCAGCCAGGCCAGAGAGAGGGGCCAGAAAGAAGGGCTATTCACGTGTGCATGGTCCCTTAAGAATCATTCCGTGTCACCTCAGACCTCCCCGACCACGCCCTCATGGGTGTGTCCTGGCACACCTGTTGAGGCTATTAGAAGGTGGGGCTACAGTGTCTCCCTATGAAACAGTTTCTTCTTTTTAAAAACATTTTATTTATTTATTATGTATACAACATTCTGCTTCCTTGTATATCTGCACACCAGAAGAGGGCACCAGATCTCATAACGGATGGTTGTGAGCCACCATGTGGTTGGTGGGAATTGAACTCAGGACCTCTGGAAGAGTAGTCAGTGCTCTTAACCTCTGAGCCATCTCTCAGTTTTATTAATTTTATCTTTCCTTATAGATCCAATGCTGGGAGTATGTGTGTCTTTGTTCTTTAGCTATTGTTCTTGAGTTGTCACTGGGCTGGGAGTTCAGTCCCTCTGGAGCCACCGGCCCCCTGTCTGACCAGTGGAGGTACGTCAGGAACAGAGACTGGGACGTGGTGTAGTGCTGGGCAGGCAAGGGGTGGGGCACAGTGGCGTGGATAGAGCATGGACTCTGAAGCCTGACTGCAAGCCTAATCCCACCCTGCCACTGACCAGCTTCCCAGCTTAGACAAGCTGTTTGCCTTCTCCGTGCCTCCGTTTCCTCTCGGTAAAGTGGAGGTCGTGATGGATAGAGTTGGTAAAGTGTTCTGTAACACGAGGCACAGTGCCTGTCACATAGTAACCCACCTAAGGTGTGTTAAGAGAATTAAGATCGTCTATGTATGGCAGGGTGGCATGGCAGGAGAGAAGACAAGAACCGGGTGGCATGGCAGGAGAGAAGACAAGAACCCGGTCCAGTCTGGGGAGTCAGGGGACATCTGAGGTCATGCTTGAGGGAGAGTAGGACAGGGGACGTCTGAGGTCATGCTGCTTGAGGGAGAGTAAGCGTTGTGGGGGAGGACACTAGAGAAGGGTGTCCCTGGCAGATGGAGGCTGTGCAGAGGCAGACCAAGAGGAAGCCTCGGCAGCAGAGACACCACCGTGCAATTAGCATATTGGAGCATGCAGAGAGCCCCCACCTGTTTTCTCTAGAATGAGAACATCTGAGCGCTAGGGCCAGCATTGCCTTGGGAGCTTGTTGAGAATGTACATCCCTAACCAAGCAAACAAAAATGTCTGTGGCCCTCGCTGCTACAGAATCTGACTTCTGGTGGGAGAGGAGCCCAGGTGTGGCTCACAGATAGTGTGAACTGGTGGGAGGGTGACACTGGGTGATGGAACTCAAAGACTGGGGGTGGCTCAGACGCAGGCGTTAGCCCTGAAAGGAAGAAGCAAAGCCTGACAGTC